ATCTGGTTGAATAAAGAAATCAATCTTAGATTAGGTTTCTCTATTGCGACCTAGGTAATCAGGGTTCAAATATTGGAACAACCTTTCTGTATGTGCAAGGATAAGGCTGTGTACATCTATCCCTCCCCAAACCCCACATTGAGATGATTAGTTATCATCTCCCCAACACTAGAGGTGAGGGTTTGACATCCCCCCAAAGTTGGAGGGGAGGGATCAAACCCTCACAACCACATATTCAATGTGGCATGGGCGTATGGCCAACGGGCCTAACATGTATCACTTTGTCCTCACTCTGATTCCCTTGAAATGTAAACTATGTATTACCAAAAAACCCAACAAAACCCAATGACTCTCCACAGAATGAGCCCCACTCTTACACCCCCTGCATTTGGAACATCTGCCAGGAACTCGGGGTGGAGAGGGGTAAGAGATTTTGGGGCAGTTTGATCATTCATACTAAGCAATGGTTGGTTTTCAGGTCGTTAGATTTTTAGAGCATTGCTCTTCAATGTCCAACTTAACAATACCTATCCCACAATGATTGGTTAGTATAGAAAATGTAAAACTAAAAAAGAAAAGAAAAAAAAATGAAAAAGGAGGTATAAGGAAAGGGGGGGGGGGGAGAGAGAAAGAAAATAAAGAGAATATTCATAATGAACTCACAAATTAATGAATGGATGGTAAGTGCTTGTGATGGTCCAGGTTGGATCAATTGAATCATCACCTCTGTCCTATCTACTGGGCTGGCTTTATTATGTCACTTGGCAATGACAAATTTATTATCTCAAAACTCGTGGAGTATTTAAAATCATGAACGCTTGACATTCTTCATGGGCCTTTGGCTATCGTCCTGTGGGAATTGGGAAGTATCTAGAATGGCTCTTTACCAAACAGGGACTTGCTCTTGCTGAAAACTGTTGCAATAAAATCTAGGGGAACTCGACCAATACACGTGTTATTTAGATTCTAATCCGACAAAACACATAGCACCTTCACAAACGTGTTCTATCATTATTTTAAATGGGTTGCTTTTCATTTTACTTTTGGGCTTGGGTCCACTTCGCCTTGTATGGTGGTGACACAAAGGCCCACAGGTCCCTTTTCCTCTCGGTGAATATGTATGTGATGATGATAACATAGTGCCATATCCTTTTGATCTATCTTCTACAGCCATGAGCTATCATCTTGGGCATCACTTTTTAGTTTTTACTGCATTGATTTACGACAGTTACGCCAAAGAAGCAGCTTAAGAGCGCGACAAAGCGTGCCGTGGTTGGTTCGAATGGTTAGTGGTTGTTATCAATGGCCTAAACTCTAAAGCAAGCGGTCAAAGCGATTACAGGCAGCGCATCTCAAAGCGTGTCACTCTTCGATTAAAAAAAAAAAAACACAAAGCGACTTGTGTGGGAAGAATGGAAATAATTGCTACATCTCTCTGGTAAAAAGGCGAACACTTGAACATGGGTATGTATTACTTGCATTGTTGACGAGGCACAGTGGCAGTTTCAGACCATAACTTAGAGGAATTAGGACCACAGTCGAATGGACCGGGTTTGGATTGGACCTGTCAGAATCAACACTAACCCGAATGGATTGGATCGTCCAATAAGTCATTGACTTGGACCTGTTAAAGTATTTATTGGTTTGGGTTGGATTAGATTCCATTCATATGTAATGGATTTATATCGGACTGTATCGGGTTGGATCAATATTTAATTTATTGGCAGAGGATAAGAGTAAAACCAATATGAATTAATTGGACCAGGTTTAGTTTTCAACACAATATGAATTAAAACCAATTTAAGCAGTTTGGATGGTCTAATAAGACATCGAATTAGATATGTCTAATAAAAAATGTTTATCGGATTAGATTGGATCTGATCCATATATAATTGATTTATATTGAATTGGCCCATTAACAAGCCTGTACGTGAGGTCCACTGACCTTATCACGGATAGCCTGCGATAATACGGATTTGATCCCATGCCTCCACTTTAGGAGGGATGCTCAGTGATCATTCTTTGGATGTGCAGCATGTGACAAGTTATGAGGTTCCCTCTGCCAGTAAAACAACTTTTACATTTCAGGTAGAATTAGTTGGTATGTTTTGCCGACATGGTAGTTGTTTTTTGCTTCGGGAAGAAAAAAACAAAACAAACGAAATAAAACCGTACACATTGCCTAACACCCCCTTAGCCGATCCATCATCCATGCCAAAAAGGTATGGTACCTAACAAATTGATAAACCAATCAACCAAACGTAAAAGTTAAAAATCAATATGCATATGAAAGATCTAGCAAAGATAGAATTGTAAATGGGCCTGGTTTGTCCACTTAGTTTTAAGATCCATGCTCCTTAGGGAAGTCTTGGGCTTTAAACATATAACAACTTTGAGCCCAATTATTAATAAGGGTTGGTATGGGTTCAAGGGCAACCAAGGTCCAAGTGTAGAAAGAAATATTTTGCCGCTACAAGAACAAATCGAGAAGATGTTTTAATATGAAGGTGGGATAAAGATACCTTGAAAACTCACAAGATGAAAGTGTCACTTGGCTAAAAGTTGACATATGGAAGTAGTAAGGTTAGGATGAATCATTTTATGTATATCATCAGTTGTTTCCTGAGCTGGGGAAAGGTAAGATCCACCCATTTACAAATAGTCCTAATATAGTAAAAGACTTCAAGTCAAGGTGAGCTTAGTTGGACCATGCTAGGCTTCTTCAGCATCAGCCCAACTGGGTCTTAATGTGATCCGTAGTGGAAAGATCCAAGCAATGCATGGGCTCAAGGATGTAGTTTCAAATCTGGTCAGCCCACCTGATACCATATATTGAACTGGGGCCAGTGCAGCCCAACGTTAGGTAACAGGCTGGAATTCACATGTGCACGCCTCACAGCATATCCCAACAGTGTATTGGAAACATCTACCACTGATAAATTTGAGAGATATTCCCAATGCATGCTGAGACATGCACGTGGGGCGCCCTCTGTGGGGTGCAGATGTAAATTTAGTGCTGAAAGCAAGACAATAGCTAAAACCACCCGTATAACTAAGGGTGTCAATGGACCAGTCAAAATTAATTTGGATGGATTGGACGGATCAAAAAGACATAATGGATTGGATCAGTCTGGTCCAAATGTTTTATTAGATTGGACTGAACCTGGTCCATCCGTAATAAATTTATATTGGATTTGGTTGGATTAAGCCAATATCCGGTCTATTGATATAAGATAAGAATATAATGGACCATATCTGAGTTGAAACCAATCTAAATTTAAATGAATTTGAACAAATTAGATTATCCGAACATTGAATTGGACCAGTCCAAATTATTCATTGGATTGGATTGGACCTGATCTATTTGTAATAGACTCATTTTGGACTGGATCGGATTGGACCAAATCCAGTCCAATCGACACCACTATGTATAGCCACTCCGGACCTTCTGCAATAAGGTGTGTAAATGGACTACAAGATATCAAGTTATCAACATGTAAGGGCAAAATAGCCGACAAGACAATAAAGTTTGTCAAACCAATTCACAGTTCATGAATATTTCAACCAAGAAAGTTTGCTTGAGTAATATGGATTAGGCTGCATTTGGCATTCCTTAAATTTAAGGATTTATTTCTTTTTTACAATTAAAATGCTCTTATGAACATTGAGTTTTTTTTGTATAAAAATGAGATAAGTCCTTAACAAGAGGAATGCCAAATGCAGCCATAAACTCGTAGCCCCAGCTGTATTTCAAGGTTCATATTTCAAACACTTGATCTTATAGAGCCCTAGCTCTTTAAAAGGTTTGTTCTGGTTGGATGTTGCCTCAACCAATTTGGGCAAACTGAAAGCTGTGATATTAGTAAAAATTAAGGTGTTTAGTTCCATTGCACTTTTTTCGAACCATGGTATTGTGTGTGTATATTTTTTTTTGGTGATTTTTGAGAAAATGTTTATGCATGGTTCTGTTTGGCTCCATTAACATTTTCCGAGAAAACGGTGTCAAAAGGAGGCACATCATCCACCATGCCAGGAAATGCTTTGAGAAAAGAAAAAAAAAAAAAAGAACCCGTAAAAATGACATTTTTTGAGATGGACATCTTTTTTTTTTGAAAAAACAGCAAAATATTCTTTTTTTTTGTCGTTTTGAAAAAAACAGCTAACCAAACAGAATATGCTGACGTGTTTTTTTTTCTTTTTCCCACATGGCGCTGTTTTCTAAAAAAATGGCAATAGAATCAAATACTACCTAAACTCTGTGGGGATGCAAAGCACTAGGCTGCTTGGAGCTGATCTGGCCCATTAGGCCCGATAATTCTTTTTTTGGGCCTACAGATTGGATCCCTTTGGCTACTACTTTTTTTTTTTTTTTTGGCCAAGTTCAAATTCTCCTTGCTTAGAGTAGAGAAATGCAATTTTCACATTCTTGATAAGAAAGTCTGTTTGAGTTGAGTTGCTTTGTAAAACATTGAAACATAGAGAAGGAAAATAAAAGAGGAAGAACAAATGGGTGAGTGAGTAGTGAAAATCTTTTATTTCAACACTTTCACTGATTAGTTATTATCATAACGCATGTATATGTATCATGGGCCAGATTGGATTTTATGGGCGCTTTTACCGGGCCTCTCTCACATGATGTTTGGGCTTGATGCGGTTCTGGGCCAAACCGGACTTACATGGAAAAGTTTTGTCAAGCACGAGCAGTCGAGGCCCGAAAATTTCCAAACTGGACCGGCCGGGCGAAAACGGCCGCCTAGGCCTATCATCCTTATGTCGGTTTCCACTTTATATTAGGTTGAATTGCAGTGCGAGTCAGATGACATTCATACAATCTAGCCGCATATTAAAAATATTATCGGTATATATGATAAATTCAAGGGAGGATGTCCCGTCTCTGGTCATTTGTGGTATATTAAATATCGGAAATGCCCCTACAAGCCTACAAGGTCGGTAAGTAACAGTACATAAACCGGCGGTTCAGCCTAAGCTATATATATATATATATATCATCAAACCGTGTAGTCAAGTTCCTCGTTACCTCCCATTCGCGCACTCTCGCAGATAGAGGGAGAGGGAAAGAGAACGGCGGGCTTACGATCTTCACAGGTTGGTAATTAGTGTTCTCTTACTCGGGTCCATTTTCAAACCCTGATTTTATCTTTTCTTCTTCTCAATGCTTCTTTCTTTCTTTATTTTGCTCTTTTAGTTTCAGAGATCTAGGGTTTCAATTCGATCTCTTATACTGCTACAGACATCAAATTGAGCTTTCTTCCATCGTTCCTTACTGAGGTTTAATGCTTTGTATTCCGAATTTTTGTTGCTGTCTTTGTTATGGTTTTCTTACAATTTTTATGTTTTCTGCAGAGTTCGTTAAAGAAATTGAAGATTTAGGGTTTTCTTCTTTTTTGGGTGGCGGAAGAGGGGAGAGGCAAACATGGCATCAATAGATGCTGAGATAGGTAGGACTCAAGAAGAGAGGAAGAAGATGGAGCAACAGCTCGCATCCCTTACTTCGGTTACGTACGATGTTGATCTCTACGGTGGTGAAAACCGGTTTGAGGGGTATGAGCGCTCTATTCCTGTGAATGAAGATGAGGAGAATCAAGATTCCATGGATTCAGAAGTTGCTAGGAGGCTAGCTTCTTTTACAGCACCGAAGTCGGTTCTGAAGGATATCCCAAGAGGTGGCGAGGAAGATGACGGTATGGGCTTTAAGAAACCGCTGAGGATTATTGATAGGGAGGATGATTATAGGAAAAGGAGGCTTAATCGTGTTATTTCGCCCGATCGAAATGACGCATTCGCAATGGGTGATAAGACTCCAGATGTGTCAGTGAGGACTTATGCAGATATTATGAGGGAGGAGGCATTGAAGAGAGAAAAGGAGGAGACTTTGAGAGCTATTGCGAAGAAGAAGAAAGAGGAAGAAGAAAGCAAGGCTTCGGAAAGAGAAAGGGATGCTGGGTCTGCACCGGTGCAGCCAACTCAAAAGAGGAGGAATCGATGGGACCAATCTCAGGAGTCAGACACCAGTAGCAAGAAAGCAAAAACTGCATCGGCTTCTGATTGGGACATGCCGGATTCGACTCCAGGAATTGGTCGATGGGATGCAACTCCAACACCTGGGAGGGTAGCTGATGCTACACCTTCAGTTTCTAGAAGAAACCGGTGGGACGAAACACCAACGCCTGGTCGTTTGGCTGATTCTGATGCGACCCCTGCTGCTGGGGGGGCCACTCCTGGTGCAACTCCTGCTGGCATGACATGGGATGCTACTCCTAAGCTGGCTGGACTTGCCACGCCGACCCCCAAACGTCAGAGATCAAGATGGGATGAGACCCCTGCAAGTATGGGAAGTGCAACTCCATTGCCTGGGGCAACACCAGCTGCAGCGTACACACCGGGTGTGACTCCTGTAGGAGGAATCGACCTTGCAACACCAACTCCTGGAGCAATCAATCTTCGGGGTTCAATTACACCTGAGCAATATAATTTACTTCGATGGGAGAAGGACATTGAAGAGAGAAACCGCCCATTAACAGATGAAGAGCTGGATGCGATGTTCCCTCAGGAGGGATATAAGATCCTTGAGCCACCAGCATCATATGTTCCAATCAGAACCCCAGCCAGGAAGCTTCTTGCCACCCCAACTCCACTAGGTACTCCTCTTTATGCAATCCCAGAAGAGAACCGTGGGCAGCAGTTTGATGTTCCAAAAGAAGCACCTGGTGGTCTACCATTTATGAAACCAGAGGATTACCAATACTTTGGGGCATTGTTGAATGAAGAAGATGAAGAAGAGTTGTCCCCAGAAGAACAAAAAGAGAGGAAGATCATGAAGCTTTTGCTCAAGGTTAAGAACGGGACACCTCCTCAGAGGAAAACAGCACTGAGGCAGCTAACTGACAAAGCTCGGGAGTTTGGTGCAGGTCCACTTTTCAACAGAATCCTGCCATTGCTCATGCAGCCCACATTAGAAGATCAGGAAAGACACCTTCTGGTTAAGGTTATTGATAGGGTACTGTATAAGTTGGATGAGCTGGTTCGGCCTTTTGTTCACAAGATTCTAGTCGTTATTGAGCCTCTGTTGATTGATGAGGATTATTATGCTCGTGTAGAAGGAAGAGAGATCATTTCCAATCTCAGTAAAGCAGCTGGCTTGGCAACAATGATTGCTGCAATGCGACCTGATATTGACAATATTGATGAATACGTCAGGAATACGACTGCAAGGGCTTTCAGTGTGGTTGCTTCTGCACTAGGAATTCCTGCACTCCTGCCATTTTTAAAAGCTGTTTGTCAGAGTAAGAAATCTTGGCAAGCTAGACACACAGGAATTAAGATTGTCCAGCAGATTGCCATCTTGATTGGCTGTGCTGTTCTTCCACATCTCAGGTCGCTTGTTGAAATCATAGAACATGGTCTTAATGACGAGAATCAGAAGGTGAGAACAATTACTGCACTCTCTCTGGCTGCGCTTGCTGAGGCAGCTGCTCCATATGGTATTGAAAGTTTTGATTCAGTCTTGAAGCCTCTATGGAAGGGTATCAGATCACATCGTGGGAAAGTCTTGGCTGCTTTCTTGAAGGCTATTGGGTTTATCATTCCACTAATGGATGCGATTTATGCTAGTTACTATACTAAGGAAGTTATGTTCATTCTGATTAGAGAGTTCCAGTCACCAGATGAAGAAATGAAGAAAATTGTGCTTAAAGTGGTGAAGCAATGTGTGAGTACGGAAGGGGTGGAAGCTGATTATATTCGAAGTGATATTCTCCCTGAGTTTTTCCGTAATTTCTGGGTTAGAAGGATGGCATTGGATCGTAGAAATTACAGGCAGCTTGTGGACACAACTGTTGAGATAGCGAACAAGGTTGGTGTGGCTGACATAGTAGGGAGAATTGTTGAAGATCTGAAAGATGAAAGTGAACCCTATAGGCGGATGGTGATGGAGACAATTGAGAAGGTAGTTGCAAATTTGGGTGCGTCAGATATAGATGCCCGGCTGGAGGAGCTGTTGATTGATGGGATCCTGTATGCTTTCCAAGAACAAACAAGCGATGATGCTAATGTTATGCTGAATGGATTTGGTGCTGTGGTCAATGCTCTTGGGCAGAGGGTGAAGCCTTACCTTCCCCAGATCTGTGGTACCATAAAGTGGCGTTTGAACAATAAAAGTGCAAAGGTGAGACAGCAAGCTGCAGATCTCATTTCGAGGATTGCTGTTGTCATGAAGCAGTGCCAAGAGGAACAGCTAATGGGCCACCTTGGGGTGGTCTTGTATGAATACTTGGGTGAAGAGTATCCTGAAGTCCTGGGGTCCATACTGGGAGCTCTCAAGGCCATTGTCAATGTTATTGGTATGACAAAAATGACACCCCCAATAAAGGATTTGCTCCCTCGCCTGACACCAATTCTGAAGAACCGGCATGAGAAGGTTCAGGAGAACTGTATTGACCTTGTTGGTAGAATTGCTGATCGTGGAGCTGAATTTGTACCTGCTAGGGAGTGGATGAGGATCTGTTTTGAGCTTCTGGAGATGCTGAAAGCCCACAAGAAGGGAATCCGGAGAGCAACTGTGAACACATTTGGCTACATAGCAAAAGCCATTGGGCCACAGGATGTGTTGGCAACACTTTTGAACAACCTTAAGGTGCAGGAACGTCAGAACCGTGTTTGCACAACCGTGGCCATTGCAATAGTTGCAGAAACTTGTTCCCCTTTCACAGTTCTGCCAGCGTTGATGAATGAGTACCGTGTGCCAGAGCTTAATGTGCAGAATGGTGTTTTGAAATCCCTGTCTTTCTTGTTTGAATACATAGGTGAGATGGGGAAGGACTATATATATGCAGTTACTCCACTCCTTGAAGATGCTCTCATGGATAGAGACCTGGTTCACAGGCAGACTGCAGCTTCTGCTGTTAAACACATGGCATTGGGTGTGGCTGGACTGGGTTGTGAGGATGCTCTAGTGCACCTGTTGAACTATGTATGGCCAAATATATTTGAGACATCACCCCACGTTATAAATGCTGTTATGGAAGCCATAGAAGGGATGAGGGTAGCCCTGGGTGCAGCCGTTATCCTGAACTATTGTCTCCAGGGTCTATTCCATCCGGCCAGGAAGGTCAGGGAGGTTTACTGGAAGATCTATAACTCGCTGTACATTGGATCGCAGGATGCACTTGTGGCTGCTTATCCCACATTGGAGGACGAGGCTAGCAACATATTCAGCCGACCAGAATTGATGATGTTTGTTTGAGCTGCAGTTACCAAGCAAGGTAGCCCATCAGGATCAAAACCATAGTGTGGCATCATGTAATCTTCTTTGTCCTGCGGTTTTTTTTTGAGATGGGTTCTCTTGCTCGTCCAAGTTAATTGACTTGTTATTTTGCTAATTCTGTTATCGAGATTTAGCTCGTACACCTTTTAAGTTTTAATTTCTCGAAAGTGTTATGTAACCGCTTTTAATATGGAAGCTCCTTGGTGGAAAAGTTCAGGCATATATAATATGACATGTATTATGATCATTATTTATCTATTGTATGCTCACTTCACTTAAAATTATACATTTCTATATTTTTTCTTTGATAGGTAAGTATAAATCCAACACTACACAAACTGTTCCAGCCAAGGTGGGCAAGACCACCAGACCCTGGTCGGAAACAAAAAGATTTTGCCCTTTGCTTCATCGTATGGGCAATGCAGTTTGATCGTCCAGTGATTGCCAAAATTCAACACTTCAACATAAGACCACCCTCAACACTGATACCGGTCATTCATTTTCATTGTGTACTGTCCACCACAACTATGGCATCCAACAAAAGATGACCGTTGACCGGCTATGGGTCGACAAAACCACCAATGCAACGAGGACCGAACCTAATTCTGATTCCACTCGAACCTTGATACTGCCCAAAAAACCACCTTTAGCAACCAAAAATTTATATTATGGCCCTGTCCTTTTTTTGGTAAGTTATTTATCAGGGTAAATGTAATTACCTGGATAAATATTTTTTAGGAAACGCTTATTTAGGTAAATGGATTTACTATGTATTTCTATTTCTCAGATAAACAATATAATGATTGTTTTAACCATAAAAGTCATTATTAAAAAGAACAATTTTATCCCATCCTAGAAATTTCCTCCGCACATGGATTTCATTGGTCAATGATAATCAAAATCCCATTTATCAACTTTCCTCTCTCAAAATCCTAGAAACTAACAGACCCTATAAAACCACAAAAACCATAAGTTCCTTTATTTTGTAACCCTCACAGAGGAGGTAATGGAAAAAGCGAGTGGGTACCATTCTAAATATCAAACCTGGGCTCTTAAAAGATCCTGGAGTCATAGCACTTTGGCCAAGTTTGTTAATTAGAATTGTACCTTAATTAGTATAGGAAATGGCCCCAATAAGCATCTGATCGTTAGGATATGTTGCTGAGAGTGATGTCTACCTGTTTATGGGCATGTCTCAGGTTTGAATTTTGTCAAAATTTGAATGGACCTGGCGTAAAACCTGAGTCTGAAACAGTGTAAAGCCAAGCCTGAAGCCTGGCCCTTGTCACTAGGGGTGTCCATGGTTTGGTTAACTGAACCATGGGCAATTTTTGCAAACTTAATCGGTGTCATTGGTTTTTCCATTTCTCCAAATTGAAACAAATCAGTACCACCAGTTAACCGGTCTGCTGGTTTTGTTTTTTGACTAGTTCGATTCTTCAATTTTTTATATTTATAATATATATTATATAAATATATGTATTATATTATATTATAAATAATAAATAATATATAATATATTATAAATTTTATAAAAATATATAATATATGTATATTTATATATATAATGAATATATATTTATACAATATACAGATAATATGTGACATAAATTAAAAATATATATAAAATATACATATAAATATATACCGGTCGGTTCGGTTAATCACTGGTTTTTTTGTAGGTTAACAAAAAACCAAATCAGTTTCGATTTTTCAAAAATACCAAACCAAAACCGAACTGATCGATTCAGTTAACTGCATTTTCTGGTTTGGTTTTTCAGTTTGAGACAATTTTAAAAAGTATCAAAATACATTTTGGACATGACAAAAAGTTGGAATATACATGGATACATTAGAGGAACAAAAATAAATCCCAAATTATACAACAATAATATTAAACTTGAGTCCTAGAAGACCATAAATATGGTATACACATGAAAAAAACATACTTTAAACTTGTGTAAATATCGGAACACACTTTAAGAAATGTTGAAAATTATCAGACTTATATATCTAAATTATTAAGAACCAATATAATTCTTTTTTTTTTTTGCTCAGAAAGAACCAACATAGTTCTTTTTTAATATTTATAAGTTTATATATATTTTAACAAATTTGAAAGATTTATTTTTATGCTAAATATGAAAGTTTTTGACAGATATGCAATAGGAAGCACTTGAACTCTTGAAGAATGAATTTACAGTGTTGGGCTTGGGCCCTTGATCAGGTTCAACAAATGCTTGACCCAAACCTACAAAAGTTGCAAACTTACACGAAGAAACATCTGAAAGTTTAAATCTAGATTAGCTCACGGAATTATGACAAGTAGTTGAAACATGGTAAAGTGATAGGTTGGTTCTCTGCTAGAAATAAGAGGTATAACAAGGAATTTTATATAGTATGGGGTATTTATAAATTATAAAGGCAGTTTATACCATAGTTTTTGAACTGTCGTTGATTCAGATGGTTGGACTGTTTGGCTCGGGAATTGTTCAGGCAATCAGTTCTATTTTATTTCAAATCCGGTTCTTGGCTAAAAATCGTTGAATCAGTCAATGAACCATTGATTTGAGCGGTTAAACCATCGACCTGTTGATCCGCCCATTCAAACCGAACAGCAAACCATCAACCCAAACACTGATGGCCAGAACGATTCCTTTTCTGAATCATTTTTTAAAACCATGGTTTATAGTTTATACTCCTTATCACAATAACGATGTCATGTTGATTCTGACTGTAAAATCCCGGCCCCAGTAGAAGAACCGTAAAATAAATGTTTCAGTATTAGAAGAGGTGGAAAAGTTCGGTCAAACACCAATGCATGCAGCCTGGATGGTGTATAAATGCTCCATCAATGATGTGGATTCAATTCCCACAAACCACCGACTTTGGGGTAAAAGTAGATAAGGCTACATTTGGTTGTGGTACAAATTTCATTTGTGTTGGTATAAATGTGTGTGAGTGCAAAAAAGGGCTGAGTGTAAATTCCGATATACTTTTGCTTCAGATTTGACTTTGTCTCAAGAAGTGAAATAGGAATTAGAAAGTAAAATAAAGTGATTTCCACTTTAAATGAAAGAGATAGAGGAAGGAGAGTTATCTATCTAGGAATAAGGTAGGGTGCAAGATGATGTAGTCCCCACTTTATAGAAAGAATTGAGGTAGGAGGAAAGTCAAATTTTGCATCATTTTTTTTTTTAGATGCAAAATTTATACTACTAATGAGTGCAAAAGAGACAAAAGTACAATTTTTATTTCAGGTAGGAATACAAATCAGAACTACAAGTGAAACCAAAACTGAACTAGGTATAAATTTTACTTCCAGTCAAGATATGCGCTACAGCCAAACACAGCCTAAGGTTTGACCATTTTTCACATATAAATTGTTGATGAAATGGGAATACATGCTTGAGAAAATCTGAGGCATGGTTGGGATGGAAGTAGAACTGTAATGTGGGTCATGCTGTGCTGGATAGGGGTGTCAATGGTACTCGAAAATTCAATTTTGAATTTGAGATACAAAATAATCAAATCGAATTTGAATATTTAATCATTTGAATTCAGATATGACTTTATTCGATTTGATAAATATCCAAATTTGACAGATTATTTCATTCTTATATATAATATATAAAATATTTAAATATTTTATATATTGATAATTAAATTATATATTTTTTGTATTTTATATAAATAAAATATTTATTAATTATCTAAAATAATTAATTGATCGAATTCAAATTGAATCTAATATTCGAATATTTAATTGAATTCGGATATTGCCTGATTCGATTCAAATTTGATCCATTTACATCCCTAGTGCTGGCACAACACGGATTGAAGGTGGCTCAGATGCCACCCGTGCTATGCTGTGTTGGGCCTTGAGCCTTGGTGGGCCGTGCTTAGGCAGCACGGTCTTCCTCCTAGGTCAGGCCTAGCGTAACCTATGGCCCAATTCCTAGTCCTGCCAGACCTATATTTTTGTTTTTTTTCCTAAACTAAGAAAAATTACAAAATCATATAATAGTAGAAAATTAACATGAATGGTAGACAATAAGTTGGGAAAAATGTAAAAAATTTATTTCATGTCAAATTTAATGTGTACAAAAAAGTAAAAAATAATACAATGGCGTTGAATTAATAAAATGATAAAAATGAAGATAAAAATTACAACATGATTGAGCTATTGGAAAATATTACAAATAATTCTCAAATAAAATTGAAAACAAAAAAAAATAATGGATTCAACACTTTTTGAAGTTTCACATCCATCATATGCATCTAATGAACCATCAGTTAAGGTGTCATGTCCTGCTTTGTCTTGTAGCCTATGTTCTGTATTTGGCTAATCCTTCAAGTTGATGTACATTTCCAAAGATTGATCATTCAAGCTACTCTTCTTCTCATTTAGAACCCGATTACTTGTAGACTAACAAGACTTTGATGCAACAATTGACACCATAAGGGTTAGTATATCATGTGCAATGATTGAAAGAATTGGATTTTTTTTTTTCCATTTTCTCTCCACCAGGCTATAATTTAAACTTCGTTTGCTTCCTCTGAGCTTAGTCAAAAATACTTGATTATTGCAAATAAAATTGAAGTTCACCAAATGATGAACTTGATGAAGAGGTGGCCTTTGATTGTTGCCTTCCTCTATTTATTATTGACCAAATTTTATTTCCACCATCACTTTCACGTGCTGTGGTTGAACTTCTCCTAGTTCTACTGAATTTTGAGATCCATACCTTTCATACATTTGAAATAATAAGGAATTAATTTCATCTTTTTTTTTCCAATTTGAGTTATCATATTTTTATAATAAAGATCAAGTAAAAGATCTAAACTTGGTTTTTTTATGAAGTAGGATGATAAATTCTTGAAAATAAATTAGTTTCATCATAAAAAGTTTGTAAAAAAATCTTTCATCTAAATTGCAATTTTCCAATCTTCATTAGTTATGTAATCATTTGGCATTTTTTCATTATAGAAACATGTTAAACACCTTTATATGATAAACAATTTTCTAACATAGAATATGTTAAATTCCATCTATGTTTTACATATAATACAAATCTTTTATATTTTACAATACAATTTCTAACTTCATTAGTATGGGATGAAATAAATTCTAATGCATCTTGTACAAATTTAATATGCGACATGTACATCTAATATGAAAAAAATCTATTAAAAAATAGTTTTAATTGATTTTTTAACATATTTATTGCAAAAACATTATTACTAGCATTATCAAC